CACAGAATCGTTCTGATTACCATTGATCAGTTCTATTCTCTAGTAACAACCTCTTTATCATTTTAATGTATTTTTAATATAGTTATATAATCTTCTTTCGAAACGTTTTCTTTAAAACTATTAATTGTAATTAAAAAGAAAGAGAAAGCGCGTAATTATTCTATGTACGACATCTACTAAATCAAGTCGATTGTTTGGTCTTTTTGATAGACTACAACAGCCAATCAAATAGAAGTACTGATAAATCTTGGAACAGTACGAACAAACATGTACTAATCTTTGTAATTACTTAATAAAATTCAAATATATATATATTTTTTTTAAAATATTCTAGATGACTGAAGAAGATATATCTGCCTTAGTAACTTCAATTGATGAAAATGATATTGAAATAATTCCTTCAAATGATTCTGAAATAAATGATCAATTAGATTTTATATCTGAACATTTTTCAATCGATAATATAAATCTTAATCCACCAATAGTTTCTATACAACCAATACAAATAAATAATGAAGATTCTGAGGTTTATATTCAATAAATAAATTTTGATTTTTGTTTTTCGTAAAATCAAATTTTTCTATTTACTTTTGTGAAAAGGAATTTGAAGATGAAACATTAATTGAACGTCTCTATGGTCTTACTGAAATGTTTCCTAATTGGTTACACACATTATTTCAAAATTCGTATAATTATTCAAAACATTTTGGTCAATTAATGAAGAAAACAATTTGGTTTTGTAGCTCATCATTTATTATTCTTCTTCTTCCAATTCTTCTTCAACTTGAATTTTCACAAGTAACTGAAATGGAAGCAGCACAAGCACGTCAAGTAAATTTTACTATGCTTATAAAATTAAAAAATAGAAAAAACTAAAATTTTCTTATCGATTAGATTCTTCTTGGGCCATCAGCACAAATTGGATCAAGTTTTGGTATTGGCCAAAAATAGATTAGTGTGATATATCGAACATAATCATTTTTCCCGTTTCCATGAGTTACCTTCTTATGTTTTGTTGTACAGCAACTATTTTAGTTTTGTTTTTCTTTCTCATACGAGCTCTTCGCATTCTTGATTTACTCTTATATTTAACTCTATGACAAAGTGAAAGAAAGAAACAAAAATATTAAAGAAAAGTATTATCTGTCAGTCTTTCAAATCAATTATGAACATAAGAAACGAAGTTTGTTTTGTTTATATCTTGATAACATATTATGTTGATTCTTAAAGTATGCATTAAAAATAGAGAAACATTTCTAGATTTTTCTAACAATCAAACTTATAACAACATATAATCATGATGGATTCGGAAGTAAGAAAAAAAAAAATTTTTTTCTAATAGTCTTTATTTGATTGAAAAATTTCTTTTTTTGTATAGTATACACCGTATGGTGGAGGTTCGGCTCAACCAACAACGAATCAACAAGGTTAATTTGTTGTTGTTGTTGCTTTTATTTCTAATTCAATTTAGTTTTTAATAGAAATGGATCACTACTTTGGAGGACAGTATGGTGGCGGAGTTGCAAGTATTAGTCGACGTGAAATTATTGAACATTTTGCCGAATTTCGTCGAGCTATTCATGAAGGACCTGTTTCACTTGTTCAACATTATTATAATACAAAGTAAAGAAAATCAATGTATTTTTAAGATAATTTTTATTGACTTTTTATTTTGTTAGTTATGCAACAATGATTCAAAATTATAGTACAGAATGGCCGTCAGCTGAAGCATTGAGAGAACATGTTGGAGGTTCGCTTTGATTGTATTGAGAGTAAACTCTTTATGAAATATTGTTTTGAAACCTATCGAAGTATTTTCAAAGTCATAGATTCCAAAGTGTAATTGATAAAAATTTTGGAGTTCGACTGATGAACTTTTTCGAAAGTGAAATCTATATGAAAGAAAAAACGATCGAATCGAATGAATATTTTTTGCCAAAACATATGAAATATATTGATAGTTTGAAAGTATTATTTCTAATATAAGCAAAAGACAATTGTACCAGACGATACCGAATAGATGAGATAGTGATAGTAGAAACTTTGACAGATCTAAAAATAATATCATTATAATGGTGACTCTACTCATAGATCGGTCCGATATCGGCGCCGTTTTTGTAATCGATCAATTATTTAATGAACATGTACTTTATCAATGAAAGATTATTAAATTTATTCATGTTTTATAAAAATTGACTAGTTTAAGAGGACTTCTTCCTTTCGAATGTTAAAATCAAAACTTTTTCAATTCTTGATTGTTCATCACTAACATATCTTCAAAGTGTTCTCTGCCATATACCATAGAAATGAGAGCTATTTTTTTTGTTAATTAGTACTTTTATTAAACTTAATGCTCGAAATTTTTTTTGCAGAAAAACCCATACTTCAATTATTCATTGTATAGAAAACTCTTGTAATGATATTTTCTAAATCTATTGAGAGCATGGACCATAGACCTCAAACATCGCCGAGCACAACCAGTTATCGATCTCTTCCATTGAAGAAAAAAATCCTGATACATACAGAAAAATTTTTTTTTCGTTTTTCTCAAAATCAATTTTTACATAAAAGAAAGCGCAGAATTGGCCCCATCTTTTCGACATAGTACACTCGATTTAGCTGAAATCTTTTTCTACAGGTACAGGATAGTGCTTAGGTGCCTACTTTTCTTTTGTTTTGAAAAATTTAATACGATTGGTTTTTGGAAGATGTTACAAAAAAAAACAACATGTAATTTCTTGTAGTACGCTGTCTATCGTTCGTATTGCGACTGAGAAAGTGGAGTGGTTTTTAAGCCTTTGCTACTAAAATATTTCCTAGAAGAAGGTATTTGAGAATTAGGAGTCTATGATAACTTTGCTCTACTCATCAAGCTCTATCTACTCGGAAAGTTTAAAATATTTCTTATGATACGCGCTTCAAAAACTTAGGTGAGGGTGGCAGGGTCCTCTTGCGCTCGGCAAGCATTTCTAACAGAGCCATAAAAAGAGATACGCACTATCTGTAATCGATCAGTCTAAAACCTGTTAGATAACGATAATTAGAAAATAAATTTTCTTAAACTATTGTTAAACTTCGAACAAATCAAATAACAAAATAATCCATCAGAAAATCTTCTTCACTAATGTTACTATGTTATGTCATTATTTCTCTTTAGACGATCCATTATTTCTTACTTTATACAAAGAAATGTACTTTCGACATATTTATGCATCAAAACCGGTAGAAACTTTTAAAAAAATCTTTATTTAGTTTGATTTGTTTTTTTGTGTAGGGTGGTGTTTCATTAGAAGAACGACAAGAATCTTATGTGAATTATATTGATCTATTTAATTTGGTTTTAGCAAAAGAACAACCATTAAAAATCGAATTACCTGATCAATGGTTATGGGATATAATTGAAGAATTTATTTATCAATTTCAATCATTTTGTAATTTTCGTACAAAATTGGCTAAACGATCCGATGATGATATTGAACAATTAAAACGAAATATTAAAATTTGGAATGTTCATGCTGTACTTAATGTTATGCATAGTCTTGTTGATAAATCACGAATTGTTGAACAATTAGAAGCAGCAAGAAAAGGAGGTAAACAAAAATAATAAAGATCAATTCTTTATTTTTTATATGTTGGGTTTTTATTTTGCATAGTATCATTTAATCCTGGTAGTGATTTATTTTGTCAAACAAATCTTTATAAAATGTTTGGATATTTCAGTTTAATTGGTTTATTAAAATTACATACATTAACAAGTGATTATTATATGGCATTAAAAACAATTGAATGCATTGATTTAGATGTTACAAAACAAGTAGATTTTATTGATTTTTTTTTTTGAAAAAATAAAGCTTTCTTTTTTTTTGTTATTTTAGAATGATTTTTGTCAAGTATTTCATTGTATTGTAGCGACAAATTATCATGCTGGTTTTTGTTATACAATGATGAGAAATTATGAAGATGCTATAAGAGTTTTTGTTGATACATTACTTTATATTCAACGTAGTAAACCAATTATTGTTGCTCAAACATTTCAAAATGATGCAGTAAGATAAAAAGAAGAAGAAGAAAAAAAATAACACAACTAGTTTTTTATAATTTAATATTTAAAATAATAAATAGGTTAATAAAACAGCTGATCAAATGATGACATTACTTGCTATTTGTTTAACATTAAATCCAATACGTATTGATGAAACAATTTATTTACATTTAAGAGAAAAATTTCTTGATAAATTACCTAAACCATTACTTTGGGTTGGGTAAGTTTAGATATTGTTTTTTTCTTCTCATCGTTAATTTATTTATTTTATTTTTTTTGTTATTTAGACCGGATGGAAAATTACCATTTCGAGATAGTTTTGCTTATGGTAAATCAAGTTCTAAATAATAGAAAATATCTAATTTTTCTTATTTTCATGAGTTTTAGAAAATATTATCGAATAGAAAGAAGTTTGTTGATTTTAATTTGAACATCTTTAGTTATTTATTGAGAAATTAAAAGAAATAATTTAGTATGATGAAGGCAACAGATGTTTTATGCTCACACAAGACTATCAGTAATGAGATATGAATATTGGTTGGAATATCACATAAATTGAAATTGTCTTGAAAAATGAGAATATACTGTAGTCATTGATATTGTTCTATTGAATAGAGAAGATCATGCATTTTCCAAAATTTTATCTTTTTTGAAAATCCAGCAGAACTTGTGAGCTTTAGCACATAAAAAAAAAACAACTAATTTTCTGGCATTTAGTTGCTAATAAAACTTATTTGAATATAATAGTTTTTCAAAAAATCCTTGATTTTCTATGTAAATATTAGTGCGCAAAAGAAGAACATCTCTAACAGAATGATGTGAGTTTCTGTAA